AAGTACATTTTTAGAAATGATAAATAAAAAGATGATTTTTTTTTAGAAAATGTCTAAGTAAACTAAAAAAATGATCAGAGCAAAACTGTAAACACTATAAAATCCACAGATAATGAAAAACACTGAAAAACAGCTGTTGGCAGAAAAAGCTAACTGAAGGCAGTTCTTTAATTCATCGTTCATATTTAAAACTTTTCAGAAGAGAACTAATACAGAAGTGTTTTTGCAGTTTTTTAGCATGTTTACTTAGATCTAAAAAGTAAAAACTGCCGCAATATTTTTACTTAAAAACACTTTAGGAAATGTGATTATTTGTTTTTCTTGCTGACTTAGATGCAAAAATCAATAACACTCTTTGCTCCTTGGTGGACCTGGAGAGAGTTTATTTAATTAAGGACTAACAGACAAAGTTTAGTCTTTCTCTGGGAAAAAAGGCAACATTTGTTTAATTTCCCTCCTGGTACACTGGTCAGGAAAATGTTGTTTGTGGTTTAAATAGGTGGCTCCTATTGATGGAGTGGCAGCCATGAGTCATTAAATGAGTGTTTTTCAGTTAACAAATGAGGGATGTTGGTCAGAAACTAAACATCTTCTACAGGAATGAGGAATGAAATCATTGCCTGATGTTTGTGGCTTTTGGCAGCCCTCTGTTGTTTCACTTACGATTTTTTYAGGGGGAGTTTCTTCACAGTTACTCTGCCTTTGGGTATGTCTTCCTTTCAGGGGTATAAGAAGGTCAAAGAAAGGTGAGACAGGAAACGACAGGAAAAGAAAACGAGAGGCGGATCTGAAGGGGAGAATGGGAGCCATGATGGGTAGTGACAGCCATCTCTGACACTTAAAGCTGGTTTTGTCCACACATGGGTGAAGACAAGTCAGCACCTCCTAAACAGAAGTTCTCACCTTGACCCCATCTCCAGCCACCCTCTGTTCATCWTTTTTTCTGTTATTACCTTTTTGACCACTCATCCCTGTCGACCCCCCACCACTCCTCCCCTGCAGGCTGTCCTCCGTAGTTGTCAGAGATGGTGTACGACGCACTCATCCATTGCTGCATTTTGGTGTCCCTGTTTCCATCGTCACCTCATCAATCAGGCACAAGTGGTGCGCCAATGTTGGACTTAAGGCCTTGGCTTTGACTCTACAGTCATAACGGCTGATCAMAATTTGTGCCGGCATCATAGAAACACACGTACAAACTCAATTTCATTTATTTATACCTTCTTAAATATGAAACTGCGTGCTCCACTCATACATTTGTTGGTTCCAGCTAATAACGTGTTCCTGCTTACAAGATCCGGTAAGACTGCATGATTGCATTTCCAAGTGTTGGCGTGCGCATTTCCATGTAAGTGTGGAAACAGCCTATTGTTGCTTCTCAGCAGGGCAGGAAGCACCTTTCATAACAAACTCACCATCTTCACACTGATGCAATCCAATTCAGCAAGATTGAAAACTTGAGCAATATGGCAATCTATCACTTTGCCAATAGATTGAGATCAGCTAGTAAAAAGAGGCATGATTGAAATGTGTTTTATCGTAAAGTTTCATTAATTAGCAGTGGTAATTCTACACTCTTGTTTTTTTTTTACCTGCTTTAACTTGTGGAGCTGCCCTAAAATACGAGAATACGAGCCAAACTAAAGTACAAACGCTTTTAAGACAAACAACACAAGGCCAATTAGAAATATTAGGGATATTGGTTATTTCCCACAGGAACCTGGTACAGGAGACATTTTTGCACATTTCAATGATTTCTTTTGTATAACCTGTGCAGAAATGCCTTCTGAAACTGTGGCGATATCCCTTTGGAGTCTCTCCCAGAATGCTGGAAAACACTCAGAAAGCGAGGGAAAACCTCACAGGAAAATAGGATATCATCGGGCTGGACATTATTTCCTGGCTCTGTGCCACCTTGTGAAACAACAAGCGGTGAACTCCCTCCTCTCTCTCAGCGTTCTGGGCCTACGGTGCCTATCAGGCCCGGGAATAGCAGCAATGTGAGCGTGACTGCACGGCACTATTTCTGTGTGCTCTGCTACTTGACATTGAGAAACCAGGATTAAATGGCTCTACTACTGAATATGACTAGCTTCTATCACACATGCAAAACATGTACATCCATAAAAGGCTAGTTCAGACATTTTAATGTGAGTTCCAGTGAAAAGTTTAAATAACTATTACTGTTTAGAACAACCTCCGTTTGAAGAAACAGAGTTTAATTCTGACAGAATTAACGAGCGGCTAATTTGAGGAGCATTGAATCATCAGGATCAAAGTATTTTGCTGCTGTCTCAAAACAGCTATTTAAAGATATTTAAATTTAAACATGTTTTTTTTAAAGCTTTACACAATTGTTAACTTTGCATTACATTATTCTGGTAAAAAAGTTGTATTAAAAAAATGACTGCTGGTAGTACACCAATCTGTAGATAGACACCATTTATGCTTGCAAATTACCACAGAACCATATGTACAGGTAAGTAACTCTAAGTTAACAATAGTATAAAGTTTTTTAAAATAATGTTGGCATGTATTACCACAAATAATTTAAAATTATCCACTCTYTGAGTGTACTTGTGWATGTTCCCCGGTACCTATGTTTCCCCAGTACCTATGTTTTCTGGTACCTATCTTCCTGGTACATATGTTTTATGGTACTTATGTTCCCCGGTACATATATTTCATGGTACCTATGGTACCTAGGTTTCCCGGTACCTATCTTCCCAGGTAACTTTGTTTCATGGTACCTATGTTTCTCATTATACTTACTGTATGTTTCATAGTACTTATGTTCCCAATACCTATCTTCCTGTGTACCTATGTTTATGTTTCCCATTACCTATCTTCCCAATACATATCTTTCCAGGTACCTAKGTTTCATGGTACCTATGTTTCTCYATACTTATGTTTCATAGTACTTATGTTCCCCAGTACCTATGTTTCATGGTGCCTTTSTTTCCCAGTACTTATGTTTCATTGTATCTATGTTTCCCGGTGCCTATCTTCCTGGGTATTTATGTTTTATAGTACCTCTGTTCTCAGGTACATATGTTTCATGATACCTATATGTCCCAGTACATATACTCTCCCTGAGTTAGTAATGAAGTTCATGAAATCAAATGTGTGTTAATGTGAATGAAAAAAGTATTGAATTTAGGGGTGGGCATTTTGCCTTTAATTTGTCAATTATGTAATAAAACACAGGATGAAGATTTTAGGCAAATAAAAATGTTTTGTATTTACTAACTACAGCAAAATAAAACACTGTAATAGTACAAACTAATCAAATAATTCCCCTATTGCCTTATACTACACACAGCTGTTTCAAGAAAAAGTCACCAGTGCAAAACAATAATTAAAAAAAACAATGTAACAATAGTATAAATATAAAAATGTCAACAAAAATAACTTCCTCTGCATGCTGGCATTAAGTKGAGAACCAAGGACTAACTCCAAACAATTTGGAGATTCTTCACTACTGACTTCATTTTTCACTTCATTTGTGAAGTCAGTAGTGATCAAATAAAGTGTAAACAAAATAATTAATCTCATCATGCTTGTACTGATCTGATGATTCTCATCTTGGTATCATTAGTATCAATATGCCCACTCTTAACTGGATTACAGTGCAAGCATTGTACCGGGGAACACAGTGGTGACTCCATGCACACTGACCTTGGCTACATTTAAATGAGCTGTTAGCTCATCAGTCAGGTCAAAGATAAACATTATTTTTAATTGAGGCAGTTTATAAAACTATCTACAATAGATAATGAACAGTTATTCACACTAAATGTCACTTCAGAATCTCAGAAGCATCGCTGGATTGCGATGTSATGTTATCTTTTCTTGTCATTTTTTATTATTGAGAAACTCTTACTGTCTACATAATTCTTCCTGAAAATGGGCAACTATACTTCTCAGTTTCTCAACGAATGCTATGAGGAAAGTTAAGTCCAGAATCAGGAACTACACCCTTGGTTTAGCAGAACATCTGTCTTTAACAACTGTCACCCAGCTTGGCATCTTGTTTATTCATTATAAATAGAAAGTATGGGAATCAAACAGCCTTGAAGACAAAGCACACTTGTGGCTTTTTTTTTTCCTGTGGATTTTTGCCTGTTATAGTTGGGTTAACCTCTGTAACCCACACAGAGTCAAGGCTGAGACATTACTTTAACACACAGAAGCAGTGCCGGCGTAACGACATCCGTGTAGGAGGTGACTTCAAGGAATGACCAACGTTTGAATCCAGCTGTGTGTTTTTGATGGTCCCTACGTCGTTTCAAACCCGTGTGTAGATGACAGCATTGTTGCTGTCGGTGTTTTGTTGAATGCGGTCTCTCTGAACCCCTGGTCTGGTTTGGGTCTCTTGATGTTYAACCGGTGGTGGTGCCTTTGAAGGTGACATCTGTTGGCTGTGTGAGTAATGGTGTGCTGCTGTGTTGTGGCTGAGTGTCAGGTGTTCCCTAGCTCACACACACCTCACATCTGTTCTCACACACAGACGGTAAATAAGGACCGGCTGCTCTCTGTGATTGATCTCTCTCAGTGAAACCAATGACATCACTGTCAACACATGAAACAGATCATGTCTTCATTTCCCATGTGGTCCGAAGGGAAAGCCCTCAGAGGAGCATATTAATTTACTGCATCTAAAGATAACCAGAATGAAACATAAAAAAGCTTTATGACGGAACAGACCCGGATACAGGTGCTTTGGGTAATCAGGGTTGCTTCTGCGTCAGAGACACAGGAAATAAAAATATTATGTTTACTATAATTACAGCTCCTGAAATGAGACAAAAGAACAAACTGGTGTGATCATTATCCAGACAGGCATTAACTCAGGAAGCCAACAAAAGAGCAAAAATAAAGTTGACCTCAGTGAGGTGCGTAGAAACATTTGGCTCTCCGGTTAATGTCTGGAACAGCGTGATATCCAAACGCCTGTTTGTGCCATGAGATGGAATAAATTGAGAAACAAGAGTCAGAAATAAGGATAATGTCCATTTATTTTGTTCTGAATAATGAAAAATATCACTTCAGAATCGCAGGTCAGGACTTGAAAGGATAGACCACTTAAATTCACATTTTGTTTGTTAACAGCTTGAACCTTTCTTTTCATTACAACTCATCCACCTCTTCACATCAAGACCTGCTACAGTGTGATGGATATTTGACTCCGCATTGACAAATTAAAAAAAGAAAAAATACGGATGCAGAAACTGATTTTGCAGCCTATAAAACCAGTGCAGTGAACTGTTAAGACCCAGGATGACATGTTTTTTTTTTTTTTAAAGACAACATTTTCTGGCCTAAAATCCCTGAGCCTGCAGGATGAAAACATGGGAGATCTGGATGCATCCCTCCCTTATTACTAACTCTTATGTGCCTTTAAACAACGGTCTGAACTCAAAAATACTGGTTGTTCTGAACAGTTTAGGCATTTCTCCAAAGCACTGCTCTTATTTTAACAACAACAACAACAACAACAACAACAACAACAACAACAACAACAAAAGTCTAATCAGAGATAAAATTAGTAATCACAGTGCTGTGGATCATTTTGCCAAAATTAAACTGAAAGGATTTCAGAAAAGTTCATGAAATACTAAAGAACTGAGGGAGCTTGTGTTTCGGTTTCATAAATAAATATTATCCATCAAGAAATACAAAAAAAAAAAAAAAACCTGTAACAATAATGGAAAATAAAACTTTCCATAAATACCGTTATCTTAAATAAATAAATTAAACTTATAAATATAACTTTTACTATACACACGCAAAAAAAAAGGCTTGTACAGTAAAGTATAAAATTTCTCTTGCAAGAAAAAAATTCAGTTGAGCTATTATTGCTGATAAAAACATTTCAGTTCTGTTTGAAACGTTCTCCCTTCACGCGGTCAAGAAGCGGGACGGAGACGTTGTTCCTCTGCGCTCGTCGTCACATCTCCAGTCCATCTGAGACACGTATTCCATTTCCACGGCGGCCTGAACACTGTCCGATGCCCAATCTCCATCTGGGAGACCTCTGGGCAGGTGCGCCCCCCTCTCTTCTTCCATCTTTAAAACATACATGCTTGTTTCCTCCGGGACCTTCGGTACGGCTTTTTTTTRTTCTTCCAGTTTGAGGTAGGATTCCTGCATTTTTTGCCTGATGGGAGGAAATAAACAGAAATTGTGAGTGAAAACTTGTTTTACTGAGGCACAAACTGATTACTTTGTTCACCCCCAACACTTAGCCCTACATGACTGAGTTGGAGGGGTGTCCCAATTCTTGACCCTTCAAAGAGGATTTTTTTCATTTTAAGCAGTATCAACCATTGCAATGTCTAGTTTTGAGGTTCCTGCATCATCTTTTCYTTTTATAGAGATATTTAGATCTGTTGAGGGTGAAAGGTTCTAAACATTTAGTATGTTGCCTGTTGTAGACAGCTCTTTCATTGACCTCACTTTAAACCTCACCAGATTGAGCTGAAGGCTCATGTGAGTGAACCAAAGACCAGATTAGATGAAACAACCATCGTCTCCAAATTCCCATAAGCAGTTCTTTCTACTTTACAAACTTTTACACCTTTGATACTCTTTGATAGACTTCAGTTTGAAGGAGATTAATTTTGACCAAACTGACGGGCCAGTCCGTGAATTACTGCCATCTTAAAACAACTTGAGTCTCAAACGTTTTATATCACTTCATACAACGRCTTAAACTTTACGTTACCGTAAACTTTACTTTAAAGGTATTTACAGAATTTTTTCTTGGCTATCTACAAGTGCAGCTTTGTTGGAGGACTTTTGATGCTTCGTGTTGCACTTCCAGCAGGAATACAACATTTGTACTGGAACTACAGTGTAATGCAAAATTGACAGTGTTGTGAAGGTTTATAAAATAACGTCTGCATGAGCTCTTGAAATCTTTGAGATGAAAGATGTTTTAAGAAACCGATAATTTATTTTATGCTCGGACTAACTGTCATGTTGTTGCTCCCGGCAGAATAGTTCCCATTTCTCTGAAGTGAAGTAGGTCAAAGAGCCATCAAACCTCGTCACAAAACCTCACCTCAAAAGCTCTGAACTAGAAAATAAACATTGTAGTCCAAAGTTTTTTGATAACTAGTTATATGACATTAATAGACATTTTACAAGGAGTTGTAAACAAATATTTTGACTTGTTGTGAGACGTTGTAATCTGTACCTCTTGTGATTTGAATTAAGGGCTAAAATACTGGGACTGAAATAAAAAATGAGATTAGACTACTGACCTTCTCTCGCCTCTTCAATGGGTGGACGCCAATCCTAGTTTGACCTTCTCTTCGCTCTCGACGTCGTACGCTCCTCGTTTATAAAACCTAAAATGAAGAAGAGGAAAGAAAAGGCTTGGACCSGTTCAACTCCTAATATGTCGCCATGTTTGGTCTGTGAGCTGGACTCACCTGAGCATCAACAACAGTCCGATGATCGTGAGGCAGACGGACGACAACACCACCGCTATYACGGCCAGAGCCGTGGTCCTGCTGTAGCCCTCTGGGGACTGCACGGGCAGCGTGAAGAGATGACACCTTTCACCAGAGTAATTTGGGTGGCACCTGGGAAGCCGTAAGAGAGGCGATTAGTACGTTGTCGCGTGGCGGCGACGGCGCTGGGGCACGCGTTCGGCTCTGATACTCACACGCAAGACGGGGCGCGGATGTCCCTCAGGTACTGGCAGGTACCGTGGATGCAGAAATCCTTATACTTCTTCAGGCAGGGATTCCTCTTCCTCCCCAGGCCTTTCCCCTTCCTCTTTCTCTTCTTCTTTCCTTCCGTGGTCTCGGCCTCCAGGATGGAGGACGGGTTTTTGGGTTTGCTCGACATGGCGACTAAAACCAACCAACAATGAACAGTTATCCTCTGCTGCGAAGCGAAAATTCAAAGAAGAAAAAAAGATCAACCAGGGGATCCGTTTAGAAACCTCACCTCGTGGCATGTGAGTGTCATAGTCGCCAGACATCTCATAGTCAGGCTCGTAGTCGTAGTAGTCTTCATCCTCCTCTTCCTGACTATAGGTGGCAGTCGGCGTGCTCACGCTCTCCTCGTCCTCCTTCACCCTCCTCTGGCTCCTGGTCGTTTCCAGGAGGTTGAAAACAGATGTGTGTCGTTTGTTCTCAGGCCTGTCGACCGCAGCGCCGCTCGCCAACCTGGACACGGCTGGAGAAGAGGAAAAAAAGAAGCGTTTAAACACCTACATAAATGCGTTGATGCACCAGAGCAGAAACTCCTCAGGACAGCTGGCCTGAGTGGAGGTGGAGCTCTGGGCATGTTTGGGCATGTTTGACACAGAAGTGTTTCAGGTGGGAGTTAAAGTCCAACTAAAGGAGAAATCTGRCCCAGTGTTTCGGAGCAGGTATTTCCCAAAACATTTGGGGGTTTCAAACACACACCCCAGATGCATACACAGACTCTTAGCTAATGTCAGGCAAGAATATGAGTTAAAAATAAATGTATCCGGTTACATAAAGCGTGATGCTCTAAAATAGAGAGATGACCCTGTTAGCTCCCATACTGCAGCCTATTAGCATCATGAAAAAAGGGTTGCTTTTAAAGATTTAAAGTTCAAATAAAAAGGCAAACAACAAGCAGGGAGGCACATTAAATAAAAAAAATATTATTGGTGCAATGTATAGAAGTTTAATTCACTCACCCAAGACCTGAAGAAGCAAGAACACAGCAGTGAAAATCCTCATGATGTCAAAAGTTCCAGTAAAAAAAAAAAAAAAACTTCCTTTTTTTATTGATCAACCAGGTGTTGTATTCCGTTCTCTCTAAATAGTCCAACTCTTTCTCTGGTGTTTATTCTTAAGTTTCGGGTGTTTCAATGGGTTTATTCCGCCTGTTCCGGACCTCCTGGTGTTGTTGGAGCGTCTCTGCCTGAGTGGAGGAGCAGTGTGAAGGAGCGGCGGGTTTTATAAACTCCTGCAGGACTCCTCCCCAGTCACTCCTCCTCTGCTCCTTCTGACACACAGGGGCAGACTGGGCCAATGGTCTGGGAACATAGTACCTGACTGGCCCATTCAAGGTCAGGGCTGGCAGATGATGGAGGCAGAAACAACAAACATCATCTCAGGGCACTGTACAAAATCTAAGGACGTAARGTTGAGGAATTAGTAAAATTATTAAGATAGAAGAGCAGCAGTTAGCTCACAGACATCAGAGTTCCACATGTTCATTTTTGACTTATTTTGATTTTACCCCCCAAAAATAACATTATTATAATCTAATATGGTATCATTTTCTTTTTCCAGCACATGAACTGTGTGAATTTAAACTTTTTTTTCATTTGAATATACTGTTATTGTATATTAGACCTTAATTCAATAAATAAATACAAATAAAATAAAAATGCAATTGGGCAAAGTTATTTGTGAAACCCACAAACATTTATGATTTTTATCTATTAGAATGCCAATGTATGATGTAAATTTCTAAAACTGATGTTAAAACATTTTAAGCAACACAGTTTTATAAAACTATCAGATACTGAGCACAGTTTGGACCTAGTCCACACATGATAATGACTTTATTTATTTAACAGCTAAATGCATTGTTTTAAAAGTTAGCAAACTAGACACAAATACAGCCACCTACATGATGAGGATGATGCACCAGCAGAAAACAAATGTCAGTTTCTGACACTTGGCTGATTTTGCTTGTAGATGATTTTTTGGTAACGCTTTCTTTTACGGTACACTTATTACTATGTAATTACAAGGTAATAAAAATGTAATTAAATGCAATTACTACCTCATTACCATGTAATTACGTGGTAATTAGGGTACAAAAGAAAAAACTACCTTTAATGGGTAACTACAATCAAATTACTATTCAATAGTAACTCAACACTATATTTATAAACAAAAGAATGCAACTAAAATTTGGGGTTAGTGGTTAATTGCAATAAAATATAACTTTAAAACTGTCCAAATTACCCACTACTTATTAGGTGTTACATAGTGAATTGTAATACATTACCAGGTAAGTGCTACATTACTGCAGACAATTACATTGTAAAAATGTACCCTAATTACCACGTAATTACATAGTAATAAAGGTAGTAATGACCATTTAATTGCATTTTTAATTCATTTAAATGTTTAAATAAAACAAATGAAATCAGAATTCATTTGTGAATTTAAATGACTGTAAACAAAATCTAAAATATGTTTTGAGTAAATCTAAACACCTGACAATATATTGTTTTCTTTGTGCCTGGCTGGTTATAAAACACGTGTGATATTTCAATAGACTATGGGAGACTTTTTTTTTTAAATTACAGCTTGTCCAAACAGGAAATCAAGTAAAAAATCCTGGAAAAGTTTCCAAAAGAATCTGTTTACAACTTTACCACAKTGAAGGAGGTCCTCCATGCTGTCACAGACTCAGTCTGGTGACCACACGGTCCAGCTGCGCCCCCTCTCGGTGAAACTGAGAACTACAACACAACTCCTCAGTTTTCACAAATATACAGTCCGGGTGGACATAAACAGGGACTTCACAWACTGTATATCTGAAAAGTTAAATCATTTACTGTATGTAATGATTACTATATATACACACCTGGTTTAAAGAGACGGATGAAAATTGTACATTTTTCTGTTTTTAAGGAATAAACATTTTTAATTTCTGAGCTGTATCAAAAAAGTCCAGCATGTGGGAGATTTATCTTTTTATTTTTCAGCAACTAAATCAACTGAATCAGAATAAGTTTCTGTTTGAAAGGGAAAGTGGTTCGCCAGTTTTCTCAGTTCATCGTGTATAAATGTTGTATCAAGCTGACTTAAGGTTAAAAAGTATTAATCCTCAGTCAAATACAACGTATAACAAATGTTTTTTTTAACTTAAAATGATATGAGAAATTACAGACGTACTTTCAATTGTAAAGGTGCTGAAGCAAGGAGTACAATACAATTAAATGAAAACAGAAAAGGTTAATTAACCTTTTCTGTTTTCATTTAGTTCAAATAGAAATAATCTGCTSATTACTGATTCTATTTTGCATATTTGAATAGTTGTTGGCTAAGAAACTAAGATTTATAACTCATGATTCACAACTATACAGAATAATATATTTTGTCCTCATTGTCACTATCATATCTGAATCAACATATCCATAAAGTATAAGGGTTGACAAAACGTTTTGGTTTCAGAAATCTAGTAAGAATAGTTTTTATGGAAATTCAGGTGATATAATAATAATCTTCTTCCAAGTTTGTAGTCCAGAAGGGAGCAGTAGAGTATTTTTAATCGATAAATAACACAGAGAGGAAAGAGAGTCGTCTTACGTCCATTTACGCGTCCTTACGTGCTGGAGCGTAACCAGCGTCGCCGCCATATTGGTTGGGTGTCCTCGTTGTTCGCACCAGTAAACGCAGCTTGAGCAACTATGCCCGTATTTTGTGCAGCCTACGGCTGCAAGAACCAGCGCAGCATTGAAAGCAGGTCACGTGGGATTACCTTTCACAAGTAAGACTGAACGATAACTTTGGTCATTTTGACCTTTTATCACATTTTGTCATCAACAAAACTAATAGCAGTCAGCAAAATGCTAAGAGCAGTAACTGGTTCTCTCTTTCACATCATGTCTTGCCGTTTTGTTTTCTTCACATTGAAGGTTTCCCAGGGCCACAGACTTAAAGAGGCAATGGGAAGTTGCGATAAGAAGGGAGGGTTTTGTTGCTACAGAGTATTCCAAGCTCTGCAGTGAACACTTCAAACCTGCAGACTTTGACAGGACSGGTCAGATTGTCAGGCTCAGAGATGGTGTGACCCCATCTGTCTTCAAATGCCCATCTCATCACCAAAGAGTAGGTGGTTGGGTTTTTTTTTTTTTTTTTTTTTTTTTTTTACTCTGCCTGCTAACAGATATGTCTATGATTCATATGGCAGACAAAAGTTAACATCACACTTTGCTAAACATGCTGTTATTGTTAGTTCTTTCTGCATATATAGGCATTAGTGGTGTATTGTGTATAATATACACTGTGGTATACTAAAATATTTTCATGTTTTTAATGACATTGGTTTTAAGTATTATGTTTCTTATATTTAGCCGGTAGCAACAAGGAACAAAAAAATATTACGGGAAGCTGAAGAGAGCCTGCTAGTGGACCTTTCTCACCGTTCCCCTGAAAGTAAACCTCATCCCAGCGACGTGAGTATTTGTGTTTGATACAGCTGTGACTGTCATGGCTCTGGTTATGTTAAAATCTCTGCCTTTCTTTCTGCAACACTTTTCCGACATACTCTCATATACACTTTTCTTTTTACATGTAATTAATGTATAAATAAACAAGTACACATGTGAACACGCCTCCTTTCACACACACATACAGTCCATGTTCTTCTGTCCTCATAAAGACTTTGTATTAATTTCCATTCATTTTTCATTCATTTCTATAGTCTAACCCTGACCCTTGCCCTAAATCTAACCCCTAACCTCCCAAAATAAGCATTTAAACACATTGGGACTGAACAGTGGGTCTTCACAAATATGAATGTACCAGAAAAATGGTTGGATATGGTCCCCACAAGGCAATAAATACATGTACACACTAGGGTTGGGCATAATTGTATCATGTGCAATTAGTCGTCAGAAAAACATTAATCGATTACTTTTTGGCACTTGATGATTAATACGATTAATGCCACCAGGCAGACTGACTGGGGATTTCTCCAGTCAAATATGATCAACATTTTAAAAAAAGTTCTGTAATTTATCTATCAACACAATTTAAAATTTGATGTATTGCCTGAAGTCTGTAATTTTCACACAATTTGGAACAGATTTTTATGAAGAACAAATCTTTCCCACTAAATGGGTCATGTGACCAGGACATAAGGGTGTCCAGGGACTCCAGGGGATTAGTCGTCAAATTAATCGTTATCGGCTAAATACCACAATTAATCATGATTTTTTTTTTTGCCAATATTGCCCAACCCTAGTACACACAGACACAGATGCACACTCAGGCAACTAAGGTTTTACTAAATTTGTGTGGACTTGTGGACTTACATTAATTTATTAACACCTTAGTCCTAAACKAAACTGTAACCCCAAAATAGTGTTTCATCCCTTGTGTGGACCATGCAAAATGTCCTCACAAGTGTTGGTTAATGTCAAACAATGTCCACACATTAATAGCAAAACACACACACTTTTTCTCATACTCACCGTACTAGCAGTGATACGGGTATGAAATGAAGAATGTGTGCAGTTATATATTAGATTTATTTTATTTTATTTGACCTTTATTTCACCAGGTTAGTCAGTTGAGYACACATTCTAGTTTACAACGACGACCTGGCCAAGAGGCAGCAAATACAGGAACAGGCGAGCACAGGACAGGTAATATAGAAATAGTTGACAAATAAATAACAAATAAAGAAATGGCCCAGWTTGCTCGAGTGGTTAACAATCAAAACATCAATGAAAAGATCGTGTGCAAACGAGTGACAGACAGTGAKGTGGATATRGCTAAAAGCATGTGCAGCTGTCATCAAGCGATGCTCTGACMACGGTTTTAAACGATGCAAAAGAAACAAAATAAGTTAGTCGTAATGAGATTTTTGCAGATGATTCCAGTCATAAGCTGCAGAAAATTGGAAAGGTGAGTGGCCAYAAGTGGTGCGTGTTTTAGGTACAGAGAGGTTAATGTAGCTGCTGGAGCAGAGGGTACGAGCATTACTGTGAATACTGAGTAACGACCGTAGGTAAGACGAGTTTTACTGATCAGGGTTTTATAGATCAACAGGAACCAAGCTGTTTGCCTGTGGGAGTGAAGAGAGGACTAGTTCACTAGGGAGTACAGAGTGCAATGATGGGTGCAGAAGGGGGATACAGGGCTACGTACCAAACTGTGAGTGCTATGATATAAACATCACAGAAAACACTTTCATCCCTCTTTCTACTAGGACCACTCCTATGCAGTYCTCAAATCAGCCATTTGTCCAAAGGCCAGTGTCTGTGAAGCTTTGGGTAGAGGGAAGGGTCTAAAGAAGCTGAACACAAAGGCCCGAGCACGGAGAGCAAAGAAAACCGTAAATAGTCCTCTGGAGGATCGGAAGAGAAAGGACCATATGAATAAGAAGTTAAAACAACGGCTTGACTTCCACTCAGGTAAAATAAATAGATGAWACAACTTTTTATTTAATGTTATGTCTGGCTCTTTGTCAGACTTTATAAAGGTATTATTTCACAGGAACTTACTGTCTACAGGTTATATGAGATATCTAAATATGAAGAAATTCTTTTATTTGTGAGTATAGAAGAGTCACGATCATACGGAGCCCGCGAGGGGACACGGGAGATTATTTTTCTTTTGCGTTCCCACGCAATAGTATTGCGTTCCCTCGCAAAAGTAGTTTATCACTGTTGTGCCTGCCAGTTTATCAACAAACTCACATGTTCACCATTAGCGAGTTAGCCTACTGCTACACAACTACGCATGGAAGTATATGCTGATATTTTAACACAGTGCAGCCACGCAACATCAATGTCAATTTCACGAACTTGTGGCGACACATCCTGTTTTGGTAACCGGATATTTTAAAATAAAAGTCTGATTTAATTCACTTCATGTACAAAACAATTTTTGCGTTGGAACGCAAAAGTATTGCGAGGGAACGCAAAAGGAAAAAAAAAAAAAAACCCACGTCCCCTCGCGGGCTCCCTAAGATCATGTGTGTGAGAAAGAGTGAAATAAATTCCAATAAACAATCTTATTTCTTGACTAAAACATAAAATTACCGGTAATTAATACATGTTATACCATATGTCTTTGTTAAAGAGCATAAAACAAAGTATTTCAGTATGTGTGACAGCGTCCTGTATGATAACTACATCTCTTCAAAATGTAACAAATAAAACAGTGTGAAAGTCGGGTAAAACTTCGTAGATTTATGATTGTTGTGGTTGGGCATACCAACACGTCAGGGTGGTGACCCATTCAAGATGGCGGCCGAGCTCATTCTAAAACGTAATTGGCTCGATMTAGTCACGTGATTTCGCGTCGGGCAAAGGGAGGCGGAAGAGGAGGGGCTCAAACATGGCTGATCAGATATTCGAGGTAAACACAGCTGTAGAGGACCTTATAGCGGAACAGCAGGTGGATGAAGCCGAAGTCTTTGGTCCGGCGACTCAGGGCGAGCCGGACGGCGGCAGCGACGTGCGGAACTCGRCCGAGAGGTCGAGCCCGGCGGCGAACAGCAGCTGGTCGGCTCCCATCCTGTCTCTGGCTCGGAAGGCCACGGAGACAATCAGCGGGGGGATGAGCTACGCTGCTGCCCCGAGAAAACCCTCACAGGGCTCCGAACTTGAGCCTGAAAACAGCCAGAACAACACGCCCAAAAAGTTCACGGGTATTTCAGCGTTTTACATCCTAACTAGTTTGTTTATTTTAAATACTCTAGATAAGAATTTTCTGTAAGTTGTAAACTGAGACAGTAACTTCCTCATTATGCATCTAAAGGTTGTTTTAATACATGACTCCATTACAGTATCATGTAATGCATTTTATGCTGTCAGTACTTTCTTGTTTAACTATTTAAATATTAATACGTAAATAATAATTGTGCATTTCAGCCGTGGCCCCCAAAGACCCCATGGCAATAGAGAGATGCAACCTCCTCAGTATGCTGAAGCTGAGCATCAAAGTCTTGATTCAGACCTCCTTGAGTCTGGGCAGGACTCTGGACTCGGAGCACCCTCCTCTTCAGCAGTTTTTTATAGTCCTCGAACACTGCCTCAAACATGGGCTCAAAGGTGAAAATCAGTTTTTAAGAATCCGCTACCATGTTTGAATCGGCGCCAGCAGATTTTTATTCATTAATTTTTGAAAAAAAAAAAAACTTTTTGAATATTTATTTCAGCCAAGAAGTCCTTCATSGGTCAGAACAAGTCCATATGGGGACCCCTGGAGCTGGTGGAGAAGTTGTGTCCGGAGTCTGCCAACATCGCCATGAGTGCCAGAGACCTTCCAGGCATTAAGTAGGTCTTTGGAAACCATTTTTTTAAATTACAACTGCAAAGAAACATTATTTATTGTCTGTATTTTATTAATATTATTATTATTATTTTTCACAGAACTGGTTTGGGGAGAGCGAGAGCCTGGCTGCATTTGGTGCTCATGCAGAAAAAAGTAGCAGATTATATGAAGGCCCTGCTGGACCGCAAAGACCTCCTGAGGTCTGTTAGCTAATCAGTCCCAACCAAAACCTGTACCGCACTGTAACATGTTTTTTTTATTTTATTTTAAAGGGCATGTTTTGTCTTTTTGTGTGTAAATTAGTGAGTTTTATGACTCTGGAGCGTTGATGATGGAGGAGGAGGGAGCAGTGATGGGAGGGCTGCTGGTAGGCCTCAATGTGATCGATGCTAATCTGTGTATTAAAGGCGAGGATCTGGATTCTCAGGTTAGTGCTCAAACCAGTGTCTGGACTTTGTTTTCTCTCTGAGCGACACATCGATCCTTCTCCTCCTCGCCTTAAGGTGGGAGTCATCGACTTTTCCCTCTACCTGAAAGACCCGGCCGCCAGCGAGACGCCAAAAGAGTAAGTTGGTCTCATGTGAGCTGTTTTTCTTTCCTTTAAAGTGRTTTTTCACATCTTTATCTGACTGATACTCATTCTTTTTTTAAAATTCTTTCAGCGATAACAAGATGACGGCCATATTGGACCAGAAGCACTACATCGAGGAGCTGAATCGTCACTTAAGTGGCACCGTCAARGACCTTCAGGCCAAGATGGACTCTATAGAGAAAACCAACAGCAAGCTCATTGAGGAGGTTTGCTGTGCTTTAGGTTGAACGCCGCTAAAGGTGTTTTTACTTGAAGGTGAAATTGCGCGGATTCATTGACTTCGTATTTCTCCCCAGCTGACGGCAGCAACGGACAGAATCAACTCTCTGCAGGAGGAACAGGAGCAGCTGAGGAAGGAGAACGAGACCATCTTGCATTCMAGCCAGAAAAAGGAAGAGGTACGTTTTCCAAATATCCAACTCTCTCATTAAAAAAAAAAACAACAACAACAACAACAAACTTATTGGATGTGTTTGTGTTTCCAGGCAGCTCTTCGGGACAGTCAGGTCGAGCTGGAGACGTACAAGCAGACTCGACAAGGTCTGGATGAGATGTACAACGTGGTGTGGACGCAGTACAAAGAAGAAAAACGCATTCGCCAGGTTTGTATTTGTCTTGATTCTTGGGCAGATAGGCTGAAGTTCATTTTTTTATCACTTCAGTAGAAAAAGGAAAAAGATAGGCTGAAGTTCCTAAATCATCAGGGAGTGCTGTAACATGAGAGTGKATGCTGATTTAAAAACACCATTAACAACTTAAACGAGGAAGAAGCCACAAACACTGATGACACAGCACAGAATAAACACCACGATGGTTATTTTTCTGCGGTTGGGTGTCAGGAGCTGGAGCGTGAACTGGAGCTCCAGGCGGGCCTGAGGCTGGAGATGGAGGTGGCCATGAAGCTGCTGGAGAAGGACATCCACGAGAAGCAGGACACGCTGGCCGCCTTACGGCTCCAGCTCGACCAAGTCAAGACTCTAAACCTGCAGATGTTCCACAAAGCTCAGGTAGACGGATGATTGGAAGCTTGTCTCTTTAAACCACACACAGACACACACGCTAACACGACTCGTGTTCTTCCCAAGGACTCGGAGCGGCAGGCAGAGAAGAAGCAGGCCGAGGCTGTGCAGCTGGAGAAGAGGATAAATGAAATGGAGAAAGCCATGATGGAAATGGAGCAGCGGTATGCTTTTGTGCCTTCTTTTTGTTTGTTTGTTTGTTTTATAAAAATGCAAAAATCAGCAGTTTCCTGTGTTTATTTCAGACTCCAGAAGTCGGAGCAGGAGCGCAGGCAAACTGATCAGTCAGACAAAGACATGAAAGTGGAGCTGGAGGGAAAAATCGACTTGTTGCAGAAACAACTAACAGACCTGGACACACTACGGTAAAAATATACACAAAACTGTAGAATTATATATAAAAAATAATAATTTGTCAGAATAGTTAGAAAATCATTTAAAAGAAAAGCAACTAATTTAAATAGACCACTACGTAGTTTAGTGGAGCTTAAAGGAAAATAAAGTTTAACACAAATCAGTTTAAAGCAAATACACCGGGGCTGTGTAGCAGCGTATATTTATCTGTTGAATTCCTGCAATAACAATAGTTTTTCCTGATAAACGTGAGGTCGGTCTGCTTGGCGCATTTGTGATCGTTTCTAACTATGAAATGTACAAATGTTTTTCTTCAGAATGTCTCGAGAGTAAACTTGAACATTTTATTCCTGTAATAGGATACGTTCACACTGCAGGCAAATGTGAACCAAATCAGATTTTTTTTTTGCCCCATAAGACCTATATCTGATTTTTTTATGACGGTCCAAACGCGACAAATCTATTTTTTTTTTTGACCCAGGCCGTTTCAGTATGCGGTTCTAAATCTGATACATATCTGACGTTTTCAAAGTGACTGCAGTGTGAACACTCGTGTCACATTCCATCTGACTTTTTCATCAGGGAGGAGGGGCTGAAGGATCGATAAGACACTAACCTCAAGTCACACAGTTTAAATCTGTAGTTCCGTGTGTTTACAGCTCCAAAACACAAGTCCAGTTGCTTCATCTTTTTACTTTTCATTTTCCATGTAGATAGTAACGTCCAGCCTGGGTCTCGGAGCGTATCGATCCTAAAGTTACTCAGTCGATACTTTATTTCCAGCTCGTTGTTTCATTCAAAAATAAAAAGCTTCACCGGAGCGTCCTGTCAGAGGCAGGTTCAGATATAAACACTAAACTAAACAAGCGTCAGATATTTAATCGGCTCTAAATTAAACAACTTCAGATTTGATGCGCTAAAAGTAGCATCTATGCTAACTCTGTAAACAAACAAGCCATCTGAATGACAAGTCACGTCTTTACTGTGCATGCAGGTCACATTGGTGCTGTGTAGCGTTCACACTGGAGTCAGATGATGGTCACATTTAAAATGTGATGTGAACGTTCACACCAAAAGATTGGATTTWWAAAAAAWATCAGAACTGAGCATCAAAACCTGCAGTGTGAACGTAGCCTCTGTGAACTGTTCAGTCTGAAGTTAAATTATGCTTTTAAAAATGTGAAGACTCAGTTTTGTACATGTTTAAAGTCCTCTGAGTAATAAGTGTTGTTTTTTTTTTCTTTTTAAGACTGGGTTTGGAAAGCGAGCTGCGCTCTGAGAGAGAACAGAGACAGAATTTGCAGAAAGTTCTCCAGCGAGAACAAGACAACAGCATGGAGCTGCGCACCCAGCTGCAGCAGCTGCAGGGCCTGCAGACAGTGAGTTCAACCACAAACTCACAATCTGATCGCAACAGCTTTATTTGTCCTTTTGCATCTTTTACCTTTTTTTTCCCAACTATATATTTTTTCATCCCTGCAGCAGTGTTGTGTTTTGATTACCAACAGTAAAAAATTGACAACCTTTTTTGAAGTGTTTATTTACACAGGAAGATAAATGTGACTGCTCGTACCAAACCCTTTTCATTCTTGTTTTTCTAATGTACACTTTCTTGTGTGTTTTTTTGTGGTGTAGGAGCTGCAGGAGTTAAAACAAGAGAAGAAACAGCTGCAGAAGAAGTGTGAACAACAAGAGCAAACACTACAGGAGATGGGGCTACACCTCAGCCAGTCTGTACCCTCAGATATTTACTAAACATTCGTGGCTTACACCTGTTAAATGTTTTGTTCCATCTTTTAAAAGGTCTAAACTCAAGATGGAGGACTTTAAAGAAGTCAACAAAGCTCTGAAGGTGAAGTGTGAAAGATTACAGAACGTTTAGCTTTGTATCAGTTTCAGCGGTAAAGAGAAAGTATTGTGTTGGTGCTGCAGGGCCACGCCTGGCTGAAAGACGACGAAGCCACCCAGTGCAAACAGTGTCAGAAGGAGTTCTCCATCTCACGCAGAAAGGTTTGGCTTTTTCTTTCTCCTCCCCCGCTCCTCAATAACACCGRCCTAACGAGAAATTTCAACGAGCCGTCTCGTTCGCAGCACCACTGCAGGAACTGTGGGGACATCTACTGCAACAGCTGCTCCAGCAACGAGCTGGCCTTGCCCTCCTACCCGCGGCCGGTGCGAGTGTGCGACGTGTGTCACTCCCTTCTGCTGCAGAGAAGCTCCACCACCGCGTCCTGACGAACAGCACCGAGTCAATCGAGCTGAGATTTTTAGGACTCAGAGGAATAAATTCAGGCMTACTAATGAAACTTACCAACGGGATGAGCTAACAAACACAACAAAGCTGTTGCTGCACGGAGCTTTCCTCGCTGTGGACGGACACAGACTGCTACAACTTCTTAAAGCCTTTTTCATATTTCAGACTGATTAAACTCACTGTTAAAAAGATTGTCAGCTACTTTATACGAATAAATGTATAAATCAATTTGCAGAATTTTTTTAATGTAACACTGGTGCTGGCTGCAGATGTGTAAATGTAGAATGTGGACTATTTTAGAATGTATTATATGAAGGACTCAATAAAATTCTTCTATTCAAGGCTTTTTTTCAGTTATTCAGACTAGTTTATTCACTTTGTGCACAGGAAATACAAAAAGCATTTGAAGCTGTAAAAACCTCCATRGTAGCAGATTTTTTTAACTCTTTAATGTAGCCCTCATAAAAAAACTGTCCTCAGATCAACACCATAACAGAATAAAGCTTAAACATGTAGGAGGTTGAAACAAAATACCAGGCAGCGAGTCTTCGTTAATCCCACCGGTGTTTCGACTTCAACAGCCAGGAGTTTGGAGAACATATAGAGCCACACAGAGGTAATGAAGGTTTAACGTACAGTTTTTGGCGAGGTCAGTGAGGAACGCGGGGGAAGACGACACTTCAGATACGTTTCTTAACAAAATCTCACTTTTCTGAAAAAAAATTCACTTAAATGGAAAAATAAAAATGATACCCCTCAGTACTCAAAACAGCCTCACCTGACTATCCTACGTTTACAAGGTGAGACGTTTCCAGTCCTTCCAGTAAGATGCAGAGTTAAAAACACAAGATTTTAAGGGGAGGAGAATTTAAAAAAAAAAAGCTAACTCAAAACTACATTCCCCAACCCCCACCGAGTCCGTTCATCGAGCCTCTGCTTCCTCCACCGCCACCGCCGTAGTAACTGCTTCCCATTCCGCCCTGGTTACCTAACAAGAGAAAGAAAAATACACTCTATAGGACCCAGGAGTTCACTGAAGACTTGTACGCAGAAAACAACACGATGCACTTCTGTTCCTCAAAAAGTAAAAAATAAAATAAAAGCCTGCCAGGTTTCATGAAACAAGTGTGGATAAAAACAAAAATACCTTTAACTCATGTCGCGTACACTAACAGGTTTTAGAAACTATCATTCTGTATTTGATTACTTTAGAAAGTTTATACAATTTGAGCAATTTACAGCTTTATTTACACCTGAAAGAACAATCTGTAGGCAGGTTCAAACTGATTTACAATCACCATTAGCATTAGAAAAATCTGATTTATTTTAAACTAATAAACAGCTCTTCTTAATCCCTCTTTTTATTTATCTGTATTTTGTGTTACGGTGCAACCACTTATTTCAGCCTGAATGTCTTATAAGATAGATTCATATTATTTTAATTATAAAATTTCCATTTTATTATCTTTAATATGACCAAAAACACTAAAAGCCATTTCAGTCCAACAGAACATTTAAGGTTTTAATAAGGTGATTAAAAACCCACCTGTAAWGTTTGTATATAAATGTTTTTTTTGTGGTTCATGAGTAACCAAAGTTCTTTCTGGAAAATTTGAAAAACTTCCAAGTCACACATAGTATATCAAATTTAGTATAAAACTAGAATATCGTATAACTGTGTGACATTTGATTCATTGCTGAGGCTGTTATTTTGTTGACAATGACACAAGTGAAACTAATTTTTGTAGGGGGTGGGGAAGTTACATAACGTCAGTGGTGGGCACAGTTCCCCTAAAGCACTAAGAGGGGAACTAATTTCCTGATTAGTGCTTTAGCTAATTTTAAAATTAGTGGATTAGCACTTGCTAAAATTTATAGGCTAAATTTAGAAGCACTAACTGAGGTCTTTAAATGTTATTGATCAACATTAATTTTAACAGCTTCATATTAATTTAGTACAAACAAGCTTATAGGTTGTCTAAGGAGTTTTCTCTGCTTCCTTTCATTTCATTGTATTTTTTTCTTTTTTATATTTGTACATAGAATTCATTTGTTTTAAAGAAATGAATAAAGATTTAAAAATAAATATAAATGTTCATTTCTGGATGCCTGCATTAAATTCTTTGCTTCAGTTTACTGTTATGTGCCCCCCTCCTCCCATCACAGGCAACTACAGGAGCCTGAAGCAGCCAAAAATAGTCTCACTCATTGCCAATGTCACAAATAAATAAATGAATAAATAAATAAATAAATAAATAAATCCACAATTCTGCAACTTTCCATGTTTTACAGTAATTTTTTGAATCTGAGAAAACAAACAAATCTGACACTCACTATAGTCACTGTAGCCTCCCATGTTTCCTTGGCTGCTGTACCCTCCAGAGTAGCCTGAACCCAGCTGACCCCCACTGTAAGAGGACTGGTTCCCTGCAGAGGACAAATCATGATGAGTTCATGCAGCAAATGAAATACAAAGTGAGATGGAACTCATTTCTGTAAAACTTGTCTGCCTGAACCACTAAACAAGTTGTGTTTTATTGTGCATTTATTTACACAAGTGCCATTAATCTGTTTTTCTCACCACCAACAGTATTTATTAGAGGTGTCCATTGTTCCATTAGAAGATGCATCAAAACAATTCAGTTTAACAATGAATAAATTGATGTAGTAAACTAGTTCTACAGATATTAGTTGGTGTAGTTGTTGTCATTGGTGTGTTATCTGCACTGCTGCATCCTGTTGTTTTTMGGAGACAATTGAACATGGTGGTGTTAGAGAAAGATAATAAACTTGTTTTTCAGCTTCACTAATTAATGCACCAGAAATAAAATGACTAAACAACAATACAGACATCCTGGTTTATTTATGGACTCTGACTGAAAAAAGTCTGCAGCCTTTCTCGGTGCTGGACACTCATGTCCACTTGACAGTAGTTCATAAATCAAAGATGGGGCCATAACAGGAAGGGGTGGGCTCTCACTGGCAGTCTTTTCTAACACTGGTTTGATTTATAGGAGCCAAAAACCAATAATCTGATTGCTTTAATCTTGATCCAAACATTGGGTTTTTGTTTTCACACTAATACTTCTTACCAATGCCACCCATCATCTGGCTGCCATAGGCTCCATTACTGCCACCTGCTGTTGAGTTCAAGAACAGCTCCACGTAGCGGTGCTCTGAGGGGACAGGGAAAAAACTATTTAGCACTATGAGSGGGGTTAATTAAAATAAAAAGCAATTATTTAAAATCCAAAGCAAACTCACGCATGTTGGCTTTGTCTTTGGACATGGCTGCCACAGCATCTTCATGTGTTGCAAACTCTACATCTGCCTCCCCGGTTACCCTCCCATCTGGACCGATCTCGATATGGACTCGCACCGGGTTCAACGGAGAGAAGAACTAAACGAATGAAAACAAAAGGTTACCAAGGGGGGGCTCTTATTTGAACTGCACACACTCCTCATATATGTAAGCACTTTCATCTTACATTGTAGATGTCTGTCTCTGTGGCTCTGTATGGCAGACCCCTCATATGGACGCAATGGCCTGTGGTGCTCTGGAAGGACGAGCCGCCGTCACCATACCGTGCGTCTGATACACCTGCGTATGAGATTAACACATGGTCTCACCGGGTCTTTATATCCTAATCTTATTAGCTTTACTGTGCAGCGTTAACAAAGACACACACAACTAAAACCAACATCAGCTTTAATTTTTCTAACTTACACTGTCCTCCTCCATAGCCGCCTCTGCGCATTCTTTCATAAGATCCCCCTCGGCCCATCATGTTGTAACCTCGACCACCTGAAGGCCGGTCGTAGGGGCCGGGTCTCTGCATGCCCATAGGTTTCCTCTGGGGCTCGTAGTGTGTCCGCACCTCGGCGCGGCTACTCTTGAAGATTTCAATATACCTAAGAGCATAAAGATACCGCAGTTAGGCCAAGGGGAATGGATGAAAACTACATTTGCTTAATACTGGACTATGAAGATGCTGTTATGATGTAAACCACTTGGTAGCAATATCTATGAGTACCTCAATATTTGTTAATAGAATAAAATAAACTTCATTACTGAGTAAAAAACAAAACAAAACAAAACAAAAAATAGCCAGAATTAACAAGGGCCTTGGTAACTTTTAACTTTTCTTATGGTTATCAAAGACGAATTAGCAAACTGTTGCACATGACTATAATGTGTCTTTTGTCCTCACCATGACAGCTAGTTTCCTGGTTTTAGAGGGTCAGAGAGAACTCCACCCCCAGTGCAACCCACTCTAATCATTACCTGTGGCAGTGGGCTCTAGACCCTTGTGTTCAAACCCCTCTGATTTTACCACCAGGGAGACTCCTTACCATTCATCAACCTGGACGTGCATTAGTGCTGAGACACCTTTTATTCATAAAATTTGATATATGCTTCAATCAAAGACTTGTCTTAAGACTTCCGAGTGGTGCCAAAGTACTAATTCTCCCACTGAACACACAGAAATGTGTAACAATGTTGCATTTAATAAAGCAGTGAGTGTATGTGTGTGTGCCAAGTCTTACAGGTATGATTGATGTGGTGTCAGTTTTGGTTCAGATGTTGAAGGTGCACACCATAAGAAAAGCAACTTATCCAGCCAACCAACCATCCCCACCTGTGCCCTATTCTTTCCTTGTGTTTCTTTAGAGCCTTTTCAGCTATATCCTGTGAAGCAAACTGCACGAAGGCCTCCCCCGTACTCCTCCCCTGGATGTCCACCGGCAATGTTATCCCATTTGGCACGATTTCCAACCCTTCAACCCAAGGACAGATAACCCCAGCAGGGGACATATTAAATCACATGCCCAATCACAGAGAGAACTTTCTCTAAAGAGATAGAAAACTTTTACATCACACAAATACCAGTTCAGGTTTTTTTTAGTTCTTTTTTTTTAGACTGGCAGTTTAAAGGAGTCACATTTACTGTATTCTTGGGATAAAGTAGAAATGACAAGATAGAGTAAGAATATGGAAAAGGGAGATTGTGTGGGACACCAGGATAGTATTGGTGTGTTGATCAAGATCTTGGTGGGTGACATAAGTAAAAACACTGTCTTCCCATTACAATGAGTTAAAAATCTGGTGTACACTGCAAGCAAGGACAATGTGAGGAAGTGTGAAAAGAAATGACACAAGGGTATGAAGGAGGTTATAGCAATAATGAAAGGGAACAATTACTATTTTGTTTATAGGAAGCTTAATACTAATTAATCCAGTTTAAGAAAATTAAATAGAGATAAGTGTGGGCTTACGATGGAGAATGATGTGCAGAAACTGGAAAAAGTATTTTTCAATCACACTCCTGCCCTTTAACAAACCGGTAAAAACTAAAGTTTAAACTCTACCTTTTCTGGTGTCATTTCACCACTGGCTACCATGAAAACTATTTGAAGTTCTTGCTCTACATTTCAATAGCCTATTAGCCTAAATGTCAAGTTTTGGAAACAGGAGAGGAAGATAAAAAACAAAACGAAGCAAAACCAAAATAAATAAATAAATAAATAAAATAAATGATAAACTATTAGGGTTTACAAGAAACTACTGTCAGAAGACTTTTTACCTGAGAAAAACTGAACGATCTCCTCCTTGCTGCAGCCAAAGGGAAGGCCTCGGAGCCGCACAAGCCCATCTCCTGTTGTCTCTGGACAGTTTGGGCCAGTGTGCTTTATGACCCAGTCCATTTCAACATTGTTGGATTTAAACACTAAATTGCCAGGAAGATAAAACAGCTGTTACTACAGCGTACACTAAAACAAAACAAAAAAAGGACCTGAGCAGCCGTCTGTTGTTACACGCACCTTCTACATATCTGTGACCCATAGTTTCTCTGTCCTTCTTCACTGCGATCTTCAAGTCCTCTTCTGTCTCCATTTCCACAAACGCTTCTCCACTAGGGCGCCCCTCTCGTGTGTAGGTGAAGTGAATCCCACTGCTGTTGTTAAGAATTTTGCATCCTGTAAAACGGTTAAATATCATGACCAACTTGTCAACATATTTGTGAATTAGAATTTCAGCCCTGGCTTGTTTTCAGCGTGTCTGACAGAACTGTGTGTGTGTGTGTGTGTGTGTGTGTGTGTGTGGGGGGTGACCAATGAGGACAGGAATTTATTATTAGACATTTATTAGCTCGATCGAGTCATGTCTGGAGATCAGCTGGTCCCTTTCAGGTCTAATAAATTTTGTGCCAAATTCAATCTGCACACTGGATCAGTGCTTCACAAACTGAAATACACAAACGATACAAAGACAATTACAAACACAAATATGCAGACATTGCRAATACATTATATATAAAAAAAAATCATGTAGTTATTTATTTTTTCTTTTTTATGACAATTATTTTATCTCATTGGGACACTCAAGGCCAACATATAACTGATAAGATTTTTGTTTTTCCCAGCAACAAATATAAAATGCTTCCTCATATCCAATACACAAACAAAACAAAACGATCTTGTAACTACGGTATATCAAAGCATTCGGTGAGCTATGATCTCAATTTTATCTGTACTAGACACTCTTTGCACAAGTTTAGGTTGATTAGCTTTTAAATAAAATAAACCCTGGGTTTTACAAGCAACTGGTTGTGTGTTGACAACAAAATGAGACTGCAAATATTTAAGTTAAAGAAATAGCATACAGGTCAATTTATTTACAGTTAACTTTTTTTAACTTGTTCAATAAGCTGTGTTCCAGAGAACATGTGAAATTATTTTCTTGATAAAAATAATAATAAAAAATTAAATTTCTCTTTTTGAACAGTCAGTCTTTGATGATCACAGGATGTATGAGTGAGTTTATGTTTAACATACACAGTTTTACTTTCTGTTCCTTGTATTTTTCCGGYAAGACGATTAAAACCAAGCAGTAAAAGTTGGTTTTTAATCAACCTGTTGCATACGAACCTGAAAAAAACCTCTGTACTTCATCCACAGAACAGGACCATGGTAGACCCCTGATTCGCACAACGAACCCCTCATCAGACATGACTGGTCACGATTTCTGAAGGGGAGGAAAACCAAGATGAAATTGGAAAATTGTGACAATCTGTCAGGTCTCAATATTTTTGATTTCTGTGAGAGGTTTTTGTGAAAGGTGTACACCTTTTACAAACTTATTTCTTAAAAACATTTGTAATTTTTTGTGCACCTTAATTGCAAACTACAGTTTGCTCAGTCCTTTAACTTTATTATTTATGCCTGAAACAACATAAAACTACAGAAATTTTCAAATTTACCTCACATTTACAGCAGTAAGGCTTTTGTTAGCTGTGTGTAGGGCTGGGCGATATGGCCCAAAAAAGAAATCCCCGATTTTTTTCATTCCAAATTCGATTTTAATCGATTTTGCTTCCCACTTAACGGAGTGCTCCTGTTCCAGGTGTTGAAACAGTTTTACTCCTGCTTTTTGTATCAAGAGCCTTCAAACTGATTTTGCAGTGAGGTATTCGTTGCTCCAAGTCCGAGGTTGCAAAACCTAACCAGTTCCAGAAAACTGAAGAAACAGTGCCTTTTTTGAAAAATAGATCCTCTTTGCTAGCTGCCATATTGTCATGTTGTGTACCAAGTGTCTTGAGGGACAGGTGGGCTGACCTCAATACTACAGAAGCACCAAAGAGTGCACTGGTGGGGAAAAAAAATCTCGATTTTCCCCAAATTAAATCTTTATAAATGGCAAATTTGAATTAATCGATTAAATCAATTTATCACCCAGCCCTAGCTATGTGCTTAAAAAGACATGAAATAGAATATGGCTGTGTCCAAAATGGCAGGCCGGGTCCTCCGAAGGTCGAATTTGTCGGCCGCATACGTCACAGCGCCGCGACGAAGGACGTCCAAAACCGAAGACTCCACCGATGCGGCCGACAAATACGTCCTTCCTTTGGCCCGAATCGAAGGACAGGTCTGATGGATCCTTCCCGGCCCAGCATAACCCATAATGCATTGCGGCCCGACCGGAGATTTTTTTAAAGCTAGTAATGGCGGACAAAGCGAGAGAAAAGAATACATTTTAAATAAAAATATGGTGATATAAAAATTTAAAAAATATAGCGGTTGTAATTTTAATACTTTTATCATTTGTATGGACATGTTTTTAAATATTATTTTTTCATCATAAAAAAATGTGAAATAAACATGCACCTACAGCGGGTCAATTAGTTCTTCAAATGTTAACTAAGTTAATTTTATAGTTTTGTGATATTAATAATGCTAATGTATTGATGTTTTTCTAATTTTGATTTAAGTTTGCTTGTTCAGCGTCGTCACAGTTGCTAGGTGACGAGACTTACGCCGGGGTAAGGAGTGGAGGCTAGACCGTCCAAATTCACAGCCTCTTTTTTTCTGGTCTACTAAGGACCCGGCCCGCCGCGACCGGGGAGAGTCTGGGTCCTCCGGAGGACCCGGCCTGTCGTTTTGGACACAGCCTACGACTGTACCCTGACACAGATACATTTCAGAGTTTTAAAAAAGTATTTGAACATCTTCCTGAGTTTCTTCATCTCAAGACTTGAAAATAAAAATATATGCTGGTTTGGAGTAAAATAAAGATAAAAGATATTTTACAGAATACACTCAGGTTGGAACTAGTCTGTGTGATGCATTGATAAAACATGTATATTAAACTGCTAAGTTTATAAATATTCATTAGTGTTACTTCTTCAGAAATTACTCCAATTGACAGACACTTGGGGTTACAGATAAATACTTTTTTATTTTATTATTATTATTAATTTTAGAAATTTAGATTACGCTTTAAAAACAGGAAAACTGAGTACTTCCATATTTAATTTTACCTTCACAGACTTGGAGTAGTAATATTAGAAGAATATTCTTCTATTAGAAGAAGTTAGGTCATGTTATTTTCAAGACTGCATTTTTAATACCTTGTTCTTAAACCATTATGTTATTTTAATTGGAATACATCTAGTTAATATTTGCTTTCAGGTTCAGTTTCGCTGTAAAGACAAATACAATTTTGGAGCAGCGCCATCTTGAGTCCATACCAACCGGCATGTGCCAAATCATCAGCCTTCTTAGTAAAACCAACCCTAACATCGGATATTACTGAACGTGTTTTTAAATCAGAAACAAATCGCTTCTAATTTTCCGTAACAGGAAGAAGAAGAAAAAATACTTTGCGGAAACAAAAAGCGCGAAACAACAGCCTTGCTAGCGTCGCAAAATTTGTAGCCGATACAAACCACCGACTGAGCATTTTTTGCTGGTATAGGCGCATTTCAAAGAAAACCAACGATGTCGCGAAACCAGTATCCTACATAAAAATATGACTTTATTCATTTAACTTTTGAACAAAGCGCCTGGCCTTCAACAKGCTCAGTACCGCACCCGGATACCACAAGAACAAAAGCGGCCCTTTCAGCCTGCGCCATGTTGTTCTCGGCGATAGCGGTTAGCCTTATGCTATGCGCAGCAGAAAAGCAAACGGCAACACGGACTAGCATTGACCTGTTAACATAAAGATAATGTTTGACTCACATATAATCCAGTTAAACGAGATATAAAGTTGAGAGTTTACCTAAATAAATGAAAATACAACACGCCGGAGTTTCTATGGCAGACGTACGTGATGCGGCTGAACCCTCGCGATGTGTTGCCAGACTCCTCCCACTCATCCCCCCTTTCAGCAACATTAAAACGGAGCTCTGCGATAAAATCAACACGGAAATGCAACAAAAAAGCGAAATTTCAATACACTTATATCAAAACAACGTGATTGTAAATATATATATATATTTATTCATAAAAAATTAGGGACTAAAAACGTTACTAAAGTGAATGTAATATTTTTAAAACACCAAACAGGGGGTTATTTCCATGCATCTGGCAGTTCCGGCTGAATAACCACGCCCATAAGTAATGACGTAGCTGCCTCAGGCCTGTCTGGCCTGGTCATGCAACATTTCCTGGCCTACAAATTAGAATAACCCTAATTAAAATGGCCAGCTTGCAAAGCTTTTAGTTTTAAAGGTGGAGTATGTCTACCTAATGTTAAGGCTACAATCACTTCCATGTATGAGTAACTGTAATGTAGTCACTACAGTTTTATTTTTAAATAAACTAGTTTTATTTTTTTTTTTTGCAATTTTTGCAATTTTTGGATGTTATCTCTGGATGGCTGAAAGATTGTTTTAAAATATGAATGTAAGAGGGGAATGAGCAACACTCACATTCATGACATTCTCAGTTTAAGGTGTTGTTTTGTCACACAAATGTTATCTAGGATCAGGCCACAGGAAAACTGAATACACATTTGTTAAAATTAGTAAAACAGTTGTAAAGATTTGATATAAAGTTTATCCTCGTTAAGCAACTTAACTCAGAGTACATTATACCATCCTGCTTCAATCAATCCGTCTATAAGCTAGTGGGAGAGCAATTATTTATAAATTTAAGAATTTCCACAGGCATACGAAAAACAATTACGAAAGCTCCAAAAAAAAAAATTAATAAGCACATTTCCAAGCATTTCYTCTCTATTTAAATGCTACTGTTTTCTGCTTAGAGTATATAGTGTAAATATTTTTCAAAATATCAAAAAAAAAAAAAAGAAACATTAATTTAACACTGACTTAGGTTAGTTTAGGATAGTTGTATGAACACTTGCTTTATCACAGGGAGTCTCATTACTGATTAAAATACAACTAAGTGATAAATAAACATATTACTTTTGTTCAGATGAAGCAGTATTGTGCTAGTTTTTGAGGGTGTCATATAGATTTACTCCGTTCACCTGAAATAAGCGATAACTCAACAACATTCAAACAAATTCAAAGTATTTTTAATGCATAACACCAGGTTCCAAGGATCTTTATATTTCTGAATTATAAAAAGTTGTCAAACTCTTATTTTGGGCATACGCAATAGTTCATTTTCTTATCTGCAAGTACAGTGTTTTGTACATATGAAAGCAGGACTTGACAAACAAGCACTAAGGTAATTTATGAATAATTATATTAAAGCAAAACATTGCATCTCATGCAATTATGTTATATCTTGATAGACTTTATGTCATGTAAAATTACACTTAACAGGTCAATTACCTTTACAGAAGCTACCTGGAAACTTCAAGCATAGTCCTTAAATGTAGTAGATTTCAAGTCATGGTTTAAATAAACTAATAAAACTAGTAACTAGTTAAGTTAGCCTACCATGTCGTGCCTTGACGTTCCTTCCACAGCCTCGTGATATTGGTAAACCTAACGTTACGTTGCGGTCTCATCTTTGACGGACGCAAATTTCGACCAATTGGAAAGGGAGTTATTTCCTGCTGAACCAATAGGATTGACGGGATCCCAGCAGGGGCGGCCTTTCTGAGAAACAGCGCGTTAGGTTGTTAGAAAGTTAATGGCTGGGGGAAAGAGAACCTCCTCAACCCTCGCTTCGGGAGAGTTTCTGGATTCCCTGAAGTAAAGATCACGCAAATATCTTTTAAGAAAGCGCCTGGACGGACGTTTAAGACAACAACTCGCTCGTTAACATACGTACCGTGAGCACAAGTATGCAGGATGCAGTAGCCGGGACGGCAATGCTGACGGACGGCTTCGAGGACGAGATTGACTCGGTGACTCCTCGCTCCCCAGTGGCAGGGATGGGGGTAGGAGCGACACCAGGAGGAGTCGGACTGGGGAGCATTGGTATTGGTGTTGGTGGAAAGAAAGTGCGTTTGTACGGTGAACCAGGCGGACCTGCCGCAGAAAGACTGGATTTCAAACTTGCGGCCGCGGCCGTCCTCTCCTCGGGTCCGGGYTCCGGCAGCGAAGAAGACGAGGTTTCAGAGGTAGCTACGCTAAAAGCTAGTTAGCTAAGCCTAACCAGAGAGCGAGAGAGGCCGCTGAAATTACGTTCAATTACCCAACACTGTGGCGAAATAGTACCTGTTCTCAGCTCAAACGCCTATATACTGTTCGATGACGGTAATGTTTGGTGAGACAAGGGTGTTTATTCACGCCAACTGGCTGAAATGTTTTATTTATGCTGTGGCCACGGCCTAGTTCGGGTGGAAGCGACGACGGCCTCGTTTGGTGCTGTCGTCTCCGCAACACCCATCACAAGTTTGTAGGCTTCTAGCCGACCAGCTTTCCCAGCCACGGCTTATGTAAGATGTCCAGAACCACCTCCCGGACGGTAAAAGGCCAGCTAAAACACCAGACATTTCATAGTTTTGGTGCAATTACGTCACTTTTCAAAATCATGTAAATTAACTTTGATCTTCCCCTCAGCGAACTTTTTAGTCCGTTCAGATCAAGGGTTAGCTATCGTTACAATCCTCTAAAACTAAATATAAAATGTCTAGAGTCGTTTAACCATTTGGAGTCTCAAAAAGAGCAAGTAAACAACTTGTAAAGTTCGACATATGCTTTATAAAAACACTAGCTTACGTCGTAGAGTACAATAAAAGCSGCAATGTAGGGGTAGCCTACAGTAGCTTAAAATTGAGATAAAATACACTTTTTGTAGAACTTTGAAAGTTTTATTTTATTTTATTTTTTTAACAAATTTGTAGGGAAACTGTCACCCATTTAGAAATGAAGCATGTAAATGCAGCCTAAGAGTCAGAAACTTAACCTTGGTGACTTTGTATTGCGTAAATTTTGTGCACGTGTTGCGTAAATATGATCATATTGTCAWTTATAAATGTAAACATTGCTCATTTTCATATTACTTTGGTTTACAGTGACATGTGGCTCTGGAGCCATGAGTTGCTGACCACCTGGTTAGATCATTTTTTAACAGGCAGCTCCAGTTTTACCTCAAAATTCTGAAAAATAAGCATTTTTTTTATCATTAGCCTTGGCTGGTGGTTTGACTTTCACCAGTATCAACTTGATTTGTCTCCTCACATTGGAGAGCATTTTGAATATATGTTGAGAGGTGTCCAAACTCTTTATATCCCACATGGGGACCAGTGTGATGACATCTCCTCAGCTCAGTGTTGGACTTGTTTATCGCCTCYGCTGCACACTTTATGAGAGTTAAAACAAACAAAAAGTTTGATATGCAACTTCATTTACCATGAGATTTAGAGAAATTACTTATCAAACGCAGATTCATAGTACACATATTATTTAATGTAATTATTGTGATTCAGAATAGTGAACTGCGTAACCACGTCATTTAATCAAGGTTATCGTTGCACAAATTGACAAAGGTGCAAACAGAAGTGGAATGCATTGTTAAATATCAAATATTTGTGCTGAACAGAACTTATCAGGTCTACATGTTTGCATTTTCGTAAACTGTTAAAGGTGATGCCGAATTAACAGCCATCAAATTGCTGTTGAAGTGAGGAAAAGCTTGGCCTTGCCCACAGTTGGACATTGTACCTGTTGAGCGGTCTCTGTTATACTTGACTAACATTTGACCCGTGGATTATCTGTCTGAAAACCTAAAGTCATGACAGTCAAGGATGTCATTGTCAGCTGACACCACTTGTCAATATGATCTGGCTGTTTTTGTTAGAGCATCAGCTTCGTTATAGCAGCAGCAGAAGAAAATGTCATGTTTGTCAAATAGACGTCAGAGAGGAAAAGCCCATCTGTGATGCAAAAATGGAGCGTTTGTTGTTGTTGTGTTCGACACCGGTGGAGAACTTGCTGCTCTGGGCAGCAGCTAAAATCTGAGCCCCAGGATTAAGCAGATGCCATTCTAGGCCTTTCCAGCTCTCTGGATACCAACACTGTGGGAACTGTAGTTCATTAATAGCGGAGACTGATAGCCATTGTTTATTATGACGGCCGTCTTTGAACTACAGCTCCCATGTGCTGTTGTGCTCTATAGTATAACTGAATTCCTTCAGGTTGCCCAATGTTTACTCTCTGTCCCCACTGAGGCAGATCCTCTAGGCCTGCTTCAGTTCATGTGGACACAGATTGTTTTTACTACTTCAGGTGTTGAAAGCACCTGTTTTCAAATTGTTGAATGCTAGGGATTCATGAATTATCCAAATTAGTTGTAATAAAAATGTTTTTGTGGGTCATTAGTAAAATGGCTCAGGTGCTGTCAACAGCGGATTTCTGTAGAAATAAAACAACAAATCATTTCAAATGACAGTTTGCTCTGAAACCTAAAATTTTATCAGATTATCTGAAATATTAGTGAGATTTCTGTACAAAATTAGTATTTTGTAGGTGATTAAATTTTCTGCACATAGATGCAGTGCTAGTCAAATGTTTGTAGCGGTGGGTGTTTCCACATTCAAAGCACTTTTAAGACATTTGATGTTCAGCTTTAAAGAACGACTGGATGGATCTGGTAACAGTATAATTTCAGTACTCACAGACCCAGCAGTGAGTAGTTATCAATATCTATCCAGCCTGAGAACACACTGGTTGAAATGTTTGTGTATGAATTGATCTTTAAGTAATTGCAAATTTTTATTTTATTTTATAGATTTTATGGATATATTTATTTTTTATCCTTTTTTATATTTTTATTGTCTTATTGTTTTAAATGTACATAATGGACACAAAGTCTGCTAATAAAGTTTGAATTGAATTAAAAGGATAATTATATATAAAACTATTCTTCTGAAGTGTAAACAAGGTGTCTTGAGTTATTTCTCAGTAACATGGACTTACAGTTTGCAAAAATATAAATAATGTTCACTAATGGAAGAGCTGCTGAAATTCTTTAAATCATATTTTCGATTTTAGTCACATTTACAAGAACACGTTAATGCTAAAGCTAGTATTTATATTTTTTGTCTATTTGCTATTTCATATGTTTATGGTTGTATGCCTCATCTGGGCCTCACCTTATTTTTTTTGTTTCTGGATATTTTTTGTTTACATGACAACTAAGTGTGCCAAAGCTCAGGTCTGGACTGTGCTGCTCCACTTGGACTGCTGACTCTCAGCTGAATCTGTGTGTAGGGGTTATAAGTCCTCAGCATCACACAGTAATTTCTGTACTCCAGAAATCATAAACAAAGAGCTACATGATGTCTTTTTTTATTTGTACACAGTGGATTCTTTGTGGTGTAGGACTACTTTTATACTTATTAATGTAAATAATATACGGAATGTTTTGGAAACATTTTGACGTCATTTTACTTTAAAATTATTTCTATTTTACAACCAGTAAGACAGATATTTTGGGCTGTGGAATTTTTCCTGGTCTCTTGTGTTTTACTTGTTTTTAAATCAAATTCATGATTTGATTAAAAGCTAAGTTGAAAATCAATGTGAAGAGTTATCTCCTGACCTTTTTATTTTCCTGTCTCCAAGGTGGAGTCCTTCATTTTGGACCAAGAGGACCTGGATAACCCCATTATGAAGACAGCTTCGGAGTTGCTTTTGTCCAGCGCCACAGACGGAGTAGATCTGAGGACTGTAGATCCAGAGACACAGGCTCGACTCGAAGCTTTACTGGAAGCTGCAGGTATGACTGCTTTGAACTGAAATCAGCTTAGTACTAAACACAAGTTAATATCACTTTAAACAATGTCTTTTTGGCCACACCTTTTTTTAAATGTAACGTCGTAAGTCGTGCATTAACATTCACTAACTTTTTGTTAGTAAATCCACACCCTCTTAAACTGATTTTGTTCCCCCATATCTTTAGAAATATGAGATTAAAAGGAGACATGCACATTATGCCCCCTTTTTACTAACCAACACTGTTTTTGGAGGCTTTTTTTTGTGACAGTATTTGGTCAGAACAGTACAAAGGGGAAGAAGAACATCTCATTTGTCTAACAATCTGTTTAGACATTTATTGAAGGCAGAAAATTTCACGATGCAGTGACCCACTCAACTCTGCCTCCCCTCTCRCTCCCTCTGATTCTGCCTTTTTTTGAGGTCGGTACTGTTCAATAACCCTTAAAGCATGTTGCACAGGAACCAACCCAGGAGCTGACGCATGCACGCACAAATCAAGCTCAGACAACTACACCAAACAGATAGAAAAATACTCGACAGGCAGGCTCATGCTCAAATATATTCCCTTTGTCTGAGGTTTGATCACAGCAGTCAGTATTGCATATTTATTTTTTAATTTGGTGAATGTAAGTCTTTCAACTTAAAAAATTCTAAGAAGTCAAATTTATTTATTTTTTAGTTGGATGTAAAACTTTTTTATGTCTTAAGTAACACTTCTGATAAGAATGCTTAAAATGTTTCAGACTTCCTTTTAAAACAATTGGAGATAAATGTGGAGATGTTTATAACTCCAAATAAGTCAAATGGTTAAAAACATGTCTGCTTTTTGGAGTAAAGATAGGGATGATAAATAAAGATCACCCAATTCTGTTTGTAGCATATCAGGAAGTAGTTTTGTCAGTGATTTGGTTAATTTTGTGTAATTAGAACTTGTAATATCCGTTTAAGAAGGTCTGTATACATTAATCCAGTAGGGGCCGGCGTCCTGGCCTCATTTGGACCTGTGAACATTACCACTCAGATTAACGCTGTAACGCATCGCATGCACAGGGCTTGTGTTCAACAGCTAATGGCTAATCTCACTTTAGTCCCCTTTCACCTGGGCTAATTCTGCCAGGAGAGAGTGGTAACTTATATAATCTGTTTTATATTTCTTAAAATCTCTTCTTATATGTTTAACACTGATTGAGATAGCACTAATATACTGGTTGGATATTTTATGGTACACAGGAGGATGTAGTGACCATGGCACAAAGATTTGGACAGATTTTTATTTATTTACATATATTTTATTTTTAGCCTAAACAAAGTATAAATAATACAAAAAAGGCTTGTTTTGCACCATCACTGGGAAAGATGTCTGCTCTGTTTTTTTTATACTCAAGACCATCTTTTATAGTTGAAAAAAGCCATTTAATTTTTTGCATGGTAAGTTTTCAGTTTTTTATTTTAGTTGCCTGCCAGGACATGAGACACCATTATAAGAAAAAAAAATGTTTCCAGTGTTAATTTGATTTTTGCAAAAATAATTTTAAATAAGGCTGATCCATAGGTCCTAAACCTCTATTGTTATGATGTGTCATTGTTTGATTTTAATTTTACCACAGTCAAGTGGGAGAAGAAAACAATGTTTGTTACTTTTGGTTAYAACACTTATCTTGTGGAGAATGTWGTGAGGTTTAAAATCTAATTGGTTCAAAGGGTTCAAGTTAGTTTGGAGAACATTAGCAGACTTTGGCTACGTTCACACTGCAGGTCTTAATGCTCAGTTGTGATTTTTTGAAAAAATCCGATCTTTTTGTGTGAACGTTCACATTACATTTTAAATGTGACCTGCATCAGACCCCTGTGTGAACGCTCCACAGCACTGATGTGACACGCATGCACAGTAAAAGACGTGACGTCTCATCAGCCGACTTGTTTGTTTACAGAGCTAGCATGGATGCTACATTTTGCACATCGAATCAGAAGTTGTTGTTTAATCAGAGCCGATTAAATAATTATCTGACCTGCTTCTTTAGTTCAGTGTTTATATCTGAACCTGCCTCTGACCGGGATGCTCCAGTGAAGCTTTTTTTTTTTAAACGAAACTACGAGCTGGAAAAAAGTATCGACCGAGTAGCTAACTTTAGGATCGATACTCTCCGCGACCCAGGCTGGACATCGTTATTATCATACTATCTACGTGGAAAATGAAAAGTAAAAAGATGAAGCAAATGGACTTGTGTTTTGGAGCTGTAAACACACGGAGCTACAGATTTAAACAGCGAGACTTGAGGTTAGTGTCTTATCGATCCTTCACCCCCTCCTCACTGATGAAAAAGTCAGATGAATGTGACATGAGCGTTCACACTGCAGTCACTTTGAAAACATCAGATATGTATCCGATTTAAAACCACATACTGAAACGGCCTGGGTCGGATTTGAAAAAATCGGATTTGTCTCGTTCAGACTGTCATAAAAATCGGATATGAGTCAGATGGGTCAAAAAAATCAGATTTGGGTCGGATTTGCCTTCAGTGTGAACGTAGCCCATGTCCTGATGCATCTCCGTAATCCAGGTAGAATAAAAAGATGTAGGTCCTCTGGATGGGTTCTTTTGAATCCAGGAGAGCCAAATCTTTTGTTTATTTTTTTATTAAAGAAGAACCCATCCAGAGGACATACATAACGTTTTAATTTATTTATTTTTTTGATATGCAGAATTTGGTTCATCATAAAAAAGATTTAACAACCGGTCTGTGTGATGATCTTCTGGATAAATTAAACCAACTGGCCATATCGTGGGTGTGTGGTAATCTTCCTGTAATTTGTACCACCTGTCAGCTATGGCCAGTTTAAAGAGGCATCATAAGCAGAGTGTGAGTATGATGGGCAGTATTAAAGCTAAAACAAACCATCGTTTCATGTCTGCTGGTAAATATACCTGTTATTGCTTAATCATCTAAAGATTAATCTATTATTAGGCTTACTAGATGATTTTTTTTTTTATAGTTCAGCTAGGGCTGGGCCATATCATATCATTCACGATAATAGKGGTGAAAAAAACTTGCCCGGGAAAATAAATAATATCATTATATGCTAATTTCATGACCAACATCATTTTGCCCATGTCGGAGAGCCTGCTTGTTTTCTGTTGCGGTCTCGTTAAAGCCGCCCAGATGCTGCTTTCAACAAATCAAACGAACCCCACAGCTTTATCCAGTCAGAGCAGAGCAGGGCGGGTCTTTCTGATGTCGGTGCAGCAGTCTGCAGGATAAACACCGGTCAGCCTGCAGCTCCTCTCCTGAGCGAGCAAACTGCGTCCTCCATACTTCGCTCCCGAGCTACCCGAGACGTTGGTATCCAAAATCTAACCCACGATAAGTTTGTGTTCAGAGCGTCGTTCTTTAACAGATATGTCCAACTTTGCTCGCGTGACCAAACTCATCTCCTCCACAGTGCTGTTACAGGAGCGCAGCGTGCACATGCTGTTCTGTGAGAGACTTTCAGCTCTTCCAAAATAATAACTCAGATGAACACTTGTTTGCCCCGTTATAGAAAAGATGAGTCTCTGCTTAGCGTTAGGCACCACATCTGACCCCCCCCCCCCCCCCCAAAAAAAAAGCAAAAAAAAAACCGCTATGTTCTTTTTGTAGTTTATTTTTTGTAACTTATCTTATATGTAAAACCATACTGTGACTGAACTACTCTGTGATTCAATAAATGATCAAATATGAAGAATAAATAGTATTAAATGATTACATGAGCTCTCTAAATATCTTTTTGAAATAAATTGTTATTTTAATAGAGAAATCAGTCAGTCTAACGAATAAAAAATGTATTTATTTTGTGAAGTACAAAAGGCATATTTGATATATTTTTTTTWAAATTTAAAGTTATAGTACATACATACATTATGTGTTTGCACTGAAAAGTTATGGAGATGGTTAAATAATTGTATGACTATATCTGACTCAAGTCTTGCCAAAAATGTTTATTAAATATATTAAAAACACTAAAATGACAAATATAAACTACAGAAAAGCTGTTCAAAATCTAAACTGTGTACTTTGACTAAAAACATGGACATAGTTTATTATAGTGTTATGACTATACTACTACTGTACTGTGTACTTGTGTGTGGTGGTGGGTGGTAAGAGTTATCAAGTATTTATCGTTAGAGGTAAACTGGTCAATATATCGTGATGTTGGTTTTAGGCCATATCGCCCAGCCCTAAGTTCAGCCATATAGCCACAAAACGTGTTCCATTTGAGTCAATCACTTTCTATGCCAAGATTTGCTTACACAATAAAGCTGGCATCACTGAACAGCTTGAGCAACTGTGACTGTTCAGTTTTAATTATTTTTAAAAGGATAATAAGTACATATATACAGTTAGGTTCATATTTATTAGGACAGAGACATTTTCCTAATTTTGGTTCTGTATATGATCATGATAGATTTTGAACAAAACTTTTTAGATGCAGTTGAAGTTCAGACTTTCAGCTTTAATTCAGTGGGTTCAACAAAATGATTACACAGAAATGTGAGGAACTAAAGCATTGTTTTCAACAAAATTCCTTAATTTCAGAGGCTCAAAAGTAATTGAACAGATTAAATAAGTGTAAATAAAATGTTCATTTCTAGTACTTGGTTGAAAAGCCTTTGTTGGCCATGACTGCCTGAAGTCTTGAACTCATGGACATCACCAGACGCTGTGTTTCCTCCTTTTTAATGCTCTGTCAGGCCTTTACTGCAGCGGCTTTCAGTTGCTGTTTGTTTGTGGGCCTTTTTGTCTGAAGTTTAGTCTTTAACAAGTAAAATGCCAATTGGGTTGAGATCAGGTGACTGACTTGGCCATTCAAGAATATTCCACTTTTTTGCTTTAATAAACTCCTTACTTTGGCTTTATGTTTTAGGTCATTGTCCATCTATATTATAAAATGCTGACCAATCAGTTTGGCTGGATTTGAGCACACAGTATGTCTCTGAGTACCACAGAATTCATCCAGCTGCTT